CAAGCATGGGGAGCTCTGGCAATCTGATCAGTGGGTGAATGATGGGTGCATTGATTGTGCGAGTGAGCGAGTGACTGAGTGACCCCAAAAACATGATGGTGGTGTTGGTGATGAGGATGATCGGTGATCGATCGTGGTGATGATGCTGTTGATGATTCTGCTGTCCCGGGTGATGATGATGTTGCTGATGATGATGTGGATGATCATCAAGATCATGATGGGATGGTGACAGTGATGATGATAACGATGGCAGTGTGATTTTGATCAGAGGTTTGGGGGTGAGTGCGACGTGAAACGGAGGCCCGGTTTCGGGTTCGTGTCTTGCGTGCCGTGCGTGCGTGCGGGCGAGGCGAAGCTGCGTGGCCGGGCGAGAGAAAATCCTGCTGTGGTTGGGCCGCGGCCGGACCAAATGAGCGCTCCTCCCTCGGCCGGTGCCGCGCGGTGTCCTGCCAGTGTCCCGCTGGTGTCCCGAAATCCTCCTGTGGCTTGGCCGCGGCCGGACCACATGTTGCTCCTCCGGCGGCCAGTGCCGCGCGGTGTCCCGCCGGTGTCCCGCTGATGTCTGGAAATCCTCTTGTGGCTGTGCCGCGGCCGGACCAAATGTTTCTCCTCCGGCGGCCGGTGCGCGCGGTGTCCCGCCGGCGTCCCGCTGGTGTCCCGTGGTGTCCTGTTGAGTGAGATCGATAGTGAGATCGATAGTGAGATCGATAGTGAGATCGATAGTGTGATCGATGTGGTGCCCCAAGGTGTCCCGTGGTGTCCCGTGGTGTCCCGTTGAGTGAGATCGATAGTGAGATCGATAGTGAGATCGACAGGTGTCCCGTGGTGTCCCGTCGTGTCCCGTGGTGTCCCGTTGAGTGAGATCGATAGTGAGATCGATAGTGAGATCGATGTGGTGTCCCGAGGTGTCCAGTGGTGTCGGGTGGTGTCCCGTTGAGTGAGATCGATAGTGAGATCGATCGTGAGACCGATAGTGATATCGAGAGGTGTCCCGCGGTGGCCCGTGGTGTCCCGTGGTGGCCCGTGGTGTCCCGTGGTGTTTTGTTGAGTGCGATCGATAGTGAGATCGACAAGTGTCCCGTGGTGTCCGGTGGTGTCTTGTTGAGTAAGATTGATAGTGAGATCGATTGAGTCAGATGTTGGTTCCCCCTCCTCTCCCCCCCACACATCCTCCTTATCACCCGAAGGGTGGTCGTATAGGTAGTGATTATGATGGTGATGGTCATCTCGATGAGCGCGATGTGCGATGATGAAGGGAGGGGCTGGGTGGGAGGATTTTGCGGGGTGTTCAGAGAAAACAAAAACTCCATTTAGGATGTGGAGAACAACCAGACCGACAATAAATAGAGGGGCCCGGCAAGGAAGTCAACGAAGTCTCGGTGAGGGGTCAGGGTAGTGGCATGTAGACGACTGCTGTCGCGGTGGGCCCAGGGGCCCACGACGCCGTTGGACCACCAAGAGTGGGAACCCACTTCCCACGTAAACCCGCGGAGACATCCAAGAACGGCAAAAAACCACAGCGCAGCCGATGGGTCAGTCATCAGGAGCCAAGGGCAGCGAGTTGTAGCCAAGAGCGATAAGGGTTCCATGGTGAGCGCTCCCATGCAAGTAGCTGGTGTTAAAAAAGTATTCGGGTCTGCGCGTGAGATGGTCGAGGCATGGAATCGAATGGTGTTTTGTCGAGAACGAGGGGCGATCCTATAGTTACTTCGGGCACAACGCAAACTCGGTCCCTCGGCCCCTCTGGGGGCGCATCCTAGCCAGTAGTTGTTTCCAGGTCTGCTTTGTCTTGACTGTCCCGCGGAGCCCGAGTCGGGCCTCTGGAGACCGAGCGCGGCAACCAATATACCCAAGACTTCTGATGACGTGACGTGTTCAATCTATGCGCGGTCCGCAGAAATTCCAAACCTTTGCCCCGGGCCAGGTTCCATCATGCACAGTTTGTTGACGGTCTTGGGGCCCGAAAGCGGCCCTTGGAGGCCAAAATTTAGGAACCTCCGTCCGTCTTCATTTTTGATGCCTTTCCGCTTGCGGATACAGTTGTATCCGGAGGTGTAGCGAGCTCCGAAGGGTGGCGCGCCGAGGGTCAGCGACTCGATGCGGGAGACGAGGGGTTCTGGCACGCAGCTGTCTTGAGAGGCAGCGGCGGGGGTGAGCAGGAGGGGGAGACATTGTGTAATTGAGCACGCTAGAACCCATACAATTGCATGTTCGCTGAACGGGTTTTCCTCTTGTGCTCTCGTCGAGTTGTTTTAGGCCGCCAGTGAAACCGACCGTTTTCAATCAAAAGGTGCCGGTTTTCGTTTTCGGAGTTGTTTAATGAAAGGTGCCCGATCCATGTCAGAAATATGGCCAAGAAGGTAAGTAGTTCTGCTGCCATTTAGGCCCCAAGTGTGGGTGGGTGGGGGGCCTTTTGCTTCTGGCCGCTCCCACTTTTGCTATGGCTGATCGGGCCTTTGCGGCAGATTTGTAATTAGTGGGGGGCGGCTCCATGGCAGGCGGCTCGAGGCTGCCGTGGGAGGATGGTTTCGCAGGCAACGCTGTCTCAGCGGCTGCTCTGGGGTCTGGATCGCTCTTCGCTCGCTGGCCAGGGCTGCCCCCCTGTGGGGCCTGTCGGGCCTGTGGTCGCCGCTGCGGCTGGCGAATGAGAGCGCGACGTGACGGAGGCGAGGCGCAGCATCTTTCGCGCGTTTGCAGAAAAAAAACCAAGCGATTTGCTGGAAGGCCAAGTGGGGGTTGATCGTAAATTGGGCGAGCTTGCGCTACAGCCTCGGCGAGTGCATCTGTAACGCCCGGGACGACGCTGGGGCATTCCAATTGCTTGGAGATCCCTTCGGGGACAGGGCCACTGGCACCCTGGGGAAGAGGAGCGGCGCGCTGCTGCGGCTCCAGCGGGCACGGGCATTACCCTATCGTCGCCCATGTTGCGTACGAGTGCGTGCGTTTCCTACGTCGCTCCGAGGGCGCACCGGCCAGTAGAGCAGATAGTTTCGTGGCGTCCTTCGGGTTCGCGCCCGGTGCTATAGGCATGACTAGCGCTGCCTCTGCCTTGGAAAGCCGATTACTCAAGGGTGCCGCGGTCGCGCAATCCCGCACCAAGCGGCTGGAAAAGAAAACGACCATGCTGTGTGCAGCGGGGGCGAGGGCGTTGGAGGCGGCTGCGGCACCAAAGGAGTTGCGCTTGGAGGACAGAGTCTTCGCAGGGTTTTGCTGCGTGTGCCTTCACGTTCGAAGTCGCTGGCGCACTGCAGCTTCGTACCAGGCTGAGCCGATGTTGGATTTGGCCGTCGAGGATGGGAACACCAAGAGGAAGAGGAGGTCCTTCCGATGGCTGGATCGGCCTACGGTCAGAGTGGTACACATTGGGCTGAGGCGTGGGTGAAGCTGAGAGCGGTGCCAGTGAGTCGGTGGAGGCGTCTCATCGGCGCGTCTCGCCTTTACGACGGTGCGTTTTGGCTACGCGATAGTTTGAAGAGCCTGCGCAAGGCGCGTGGCGTCGGTGGCATCGGCACCCACAGTTCGAAGGGCAGAACGTTGGCCTGGACTGCCAAGACTGGGATGGGCCCCGGTTCGAGGCGCCTCTTAGGGGGCAATTCGGAGCCGAAGGATCTGTCGATGCGGGAATATTCTCGGGATGCCCTGGCGAAGCCCCTGAACGAGCTGGAGGCAGTCCTCTCGTGGATTCGGAGCGGGCGCTTCGACCGCCCCCGGCCAGGGCCGACCTGGGCGCTGGTTGCCGAGGAAAGCTGAGGGGGGGGGGGGGGAAGGACCGAGGAGAGAAGGAAGGCGAGGGCGAGGCGCTGCCCGGGCGCGAAGACTCCGGCGTCGAGGACAAGAAAGCGGCGATGCCGCCGCGGAAGAAGTAGGGGCTGCGCTAGCAGGGCCAAGGCCTGAGCGTCGCACGCCCGCGACCCGGGCCGCTGCCCGGGAGGCCGACGTCGACGCGGCTAGCATCGCGACTTTTGGAGCGGTTCCTGAGCTCGCGAGAGTGGCCGTTGAAAGTGCAGGCGGGGGTTCGGACTCGCAGTCGTCCGAGTCTGTTTCCGACGCATCTTGCGAGAGCGATTATATGAAGGCGCGCGACGCGCCGATCCCGGAGGGTGGCTTTTGGACGCAAGCGAAACCCGGCGCGTTCCTCCGCGGATCAGAACGGCCGGGGTGCTCGATGACGAAGCGCGGCAAGATGGGCGCGACCGTCGAGCAGATTGTCCAGCTGAACGAATGGCCCAGGATGTCTCGGCCACGCCGCGGGCGCTGCTTCCCGCGTCGAGCGCCCGCGCGGGGAGGGGGGGCTTGACGCCGGCAGCGCGCGTAATGTTTGAAAGCGGTACGGGGGTCTTAGTTGGTGGGGCTGGGGCAGGTCCCTGCGCGGGCGCCGCTAGACCGGCGAGTTGTCTTGCGCCGGTCGCGGACCTGCGCGGTCCTTGTGCCGGGCTCGGGGCGGCGCGAGATCTGTCGCCCCCGAGCTCAACAGAACCTTCGCGCTCAGGTGCCCCGAAGGAGATGCGCGGGCCTGAGGATCAGAGACACGCGCGCAGCATGTTGCCGACGAGATCGGCATCCAGATCGCGCCAGCCTCGGGAAGCATGTGGGGGCGGCGGTTTGGGCGGCCCCCTGGAGGCGACGGTCGGCGCCCCGCGAACTATCGACGAAAGAGGTGATGGCCGTCTTGGATCTGAAAGGGCCCCTGGCCACGGCGACATGGGCGCAGCGCGCCGTCGCGAAAAGACGCGCGCTCGTCGGGCGACCCCGCGATGGGCGAGAAGAGATGGGAGGGCGCGATGAAGGGGGTTTAGAAGGGGCGGCCGCGCGGCCCCTGGGCGGCGGAGCAGTCGACAGCGAAGCGTGGGCGCGGCTGCGTCGCAGCGAATCGTTCCGGATTCCAGCAGAGGTCCGGGGCGAGGCTCATCGACGATCTCTCAGCCCACCATCGCAACGACTGAACCCCCCCCCATGAAAGGTCGACGCCAGGGGAGTTGACGGTCTAGAGTCTGCGCAAGGCACGGCTGCCGGTGAAGCGGGGCGCGAAAGCCTGCGTGACTCTTGGCGACGGCGACGAACTTGTCGGCGACCTGCGCGAGGAGGAGCTCGACGCGACCCGCGGCGTCGCATTGCGAGGCTGCTGGTTGGACCTCGAGAAGGCCTTCAATCAAATCCGGATCAAAAGAGCGCGCGCCCGGTTCGCCATTTTCTGCGCGTGGGACCCGCGTTTGAAGGGATTTCAGTTTTTCGTGGCGAAGGTCATGTCTTTCGGCGCCAAGGCGAGCGTGCTGTCCTTCAACCAGGCGGGGCGTGCATTGGCTGTGATTGTTGTCTCGCTGTTCGCTATGCCGCGCAAATAATACTCCGGCAATTGCCCGCTTTTTACGTGCCCGGAGGGCTGCGACAACGCCGGCGAGATCGCGAAGCTCGTTTTCGAACTCCTGGGCTGGGTCGTCAAGGGCGAGGGCGACGAGGCCGTGGACTTCGGCTCGGTGCTCGAGACCCCGGGCGTTGAGATCGACTTCGAGCACGCGGTCGGCGACGACATATCCATCGTGAACAGGAGGGGTCGCGTCGAGGAGATCGCGGAGGACATCAGGAACGTGCTCGCCTCTAGGGTTGTCAGGCCAGCGCACGTGGCCTCACTCAGGGGCAAGCTGCTTTTTCGCTCAAGGCGAGCGCTCTGGGCGTCGCGGTTTGGAGAGCCCGGGGTTTGGGGAAGACGGGCCAGCGGGTGCGCAGCAGGCAGGCCGAACAGGAGGAAAGTCGAGGCGCCCCTGCAGTAATTGTTGGCATTTTTCGCCACGGCCGCACCCAGATCACTAAGTTGCTCTGAGCTGCTTCCGACGGTGCTTTTCGCGGACGGGGCGCGCGAGGGCGAGGGATTCAGCGTCGTGACGGTTGGCGGTGCATCCTGCGATGCTGCCTCCGGGGCGCCCGGGTGTTTCGCCCTCCAGGTGCCCGAAGAGGTGGTCCGGAACGGGAAGGCCGAAGGCAAGGGGCAGGTCATCGGCCAAGCGGAGCTCCTGCCTGTGCACATCGCCAAGTGCACGTGGGTCGAGCGGGTCAAGTGCCGCCGGGCGCTACATTTCGTCGACACTGAGTCCGCGAAGTTTGCGTTCGCGAAGGGTTCTTCGACGCAGGAGGAGTCGGCCAAGAACCTTGACATTTTCTGGGAGTTGGAGGCGAGGCTGGTGGCTCGACCGGGTCCAGTCCGAGTCGAAACTGGCTGAATTGCCCTCCAGGCTGGCTTTCGAGGTTCTCGCGGCCAGGAGGGATCGCTTGGTGAGTGCACGTTGGGGCATTTCTGCCGCAACCTCGGCGCGGTGGTATTGGGGCGGGTCGGGCTGGGGAGGATCTGGCAGCACCCGCATTCCCCATGCCCTCTTTCGAAAACAGTGCCATCCTTGTCGAGGGGGGCGTGCTGGGCGGCTCGCGCCAGAACGTCCCTCAGGAGCGGCGTGGGGGATGCCAGCCCATCCTCGTCGCGTCGCGTCGTGGCGCTGGAAGGATACGCTGCCTCTACGCTTGCGGATAAGGTAGCCTCTTGAGGTGCCGCGAGTTCCGATGGGGGGTGCGCCGAGGGTGAGTGACACGATGCGGGAAACGAGGGGTTCTGGCACGCAGCGGTCTTGGGAGGCAGCGGCGGGGGCGAGCAGGAGGGGGAAACAGTGCGACACTTCATGTTGAGTAGGATCCCATTTTGCTCGGGCGAGACGAATTTGTAGGAGGATAGCAGGTGTCCGCTTCATCCCGGAATTCGTGGTTTAGGTTGCGCGGCAAATTATGCACGTGGGCACGCTAGAGCCTAGAACCCATGCAAATTCATGTTCGCTGCGCTGGGTTTCCTCTCGTGCTCTCGTCGAGTTGTTGTAGGCCGCCAGAGAAACCGACGCATTTCAGTCAACAGTGACCGGTTTTCGCCTTTGGAGTTTTTAAATGAATCTTGCTCGGTGCGTGTCAGAAATCGGGCCAAGGCAGTGAGTAGTTGTGCTGCCATTTATGCCCCAAGGGTGGGTAGGTGGGCGCCTTGTGCTTCTGGCCATTCCCACTTGTGCTCCCACCGCGCTCTGCCCCGCAAAAGGGGGTGGGATGGGTCGGGCCGAGGAGGACTCGGCAGCACCCGCATTCCTCGGGCCGAGGAGGACTTGGCAGCACCCGCATTCCCCATGCCATCTTTCGAAAACAGTGCCATCCTTGTTGCCAGTCACTGCTGAGGGGGCGTGCTGGGCGGTTCGCGCTGGAGCGTCTCTTTCAAAAGCGGCGTGGGGGATGCCAGCCCATCCTCGTCGCGTCGCGTCGTGGCGCCGGAAGGATATTCCAAACATCGTGCGATGTTGGGTCCTCGTTTTGAGAAGCCAGACGCCGCGTCCTCCCGTCTCCTCTCCTCCTCCCCCTCCTCCCTCCCCCCATTCCTCGCCCTCCCCCCACGCGTTTCGGGGCCCCACAGAGAGAGCCACCTACGGTCCCAGTGGCGCCGTCCGTGTGGCGGCGCCGCCCCATTTCGGCACACCCCTCATACAGGTCGTGCTCCCATAGGGAGCTCCACCTGAGGTCCCAGTGGCGCCGTCCGCATGGCGGCGCCGCCCCATTTCAGCACGCCCCTCACACGCTTCGTGGCCCCATAGAGAGCTCCACCTAAGGTCTCGGTGGCGCCGTCCGCATGGCGGCGCCGTCCCCGTGTGGCACACCCCTCGCACGTTTCGTGGCCCCATCGGGTGCTCCACCCAAGGTCCTACTGGCGCCGTCCGCGTGGCGGCGCCGCCCGATGTCGGTACAACCCGCACACGTTTCGTGGCTCCATAAGGAGCCCCTTCCCAAGGTCCTATTGGAGCCGTCCGCATGGCGGCGCCTCCCCATGTCGGCAGACCCCTTACACGTTTCGTGGCCCCATAGGGAGCTCCATCCAAGGTCCCAGTGGCGCCGTCCGCATGGCGGCGCCGCCCCATTTCGGCACACTCCTCACACGTTTCGTGCCCCCATAGGGAGCTCCACGTGAGGTCCCAGTGGCGCCGTCCGCATGGCGGCGCCGCCCTTTCTCGGCACACCCCTCACACGTTTCGTGGCCTCTAAAGGGAGCTCCTCGTAAGGTCCCAGTGGCGCCGTCCGCATGGCGGCGCCGCCCCATTCCGGCACCCCCCTCGCACGTTTCGTGGCCCCATAGGGAGCTCCACCCAAGGTCCCAGTGGCGCCGTCCGCCCCAGTGTGGCACACACCTCACACGTTTTGTGGCCCCATAGGGAGCAACACCTAAGGTCCCAGTGGCGCCGTCCGCATGGCGGCGCCGCCTTATTTTGGCACGCCCATCCACGTTTCGTGGCCCCTAAAGGAAGCTCCACCCAAGGTCCCAGTGGCGCCGTCCGCATGGCGGCGCCGCCCCATTACGGCACACCTCTCACACGTTTCGTGGCCCCATAGGGTGCTCCACCCAAGGTCCCAGTGGCGCCGTCCGCATGGCGGCGTCGCCCCATTTCGGCACACCCCTCACACGTTTCGTGGCCCCATAGGGAGCTCCACCTAAGGCCCTACTGGAGCCGTTCGCATGGCGGCGCCGCCCCATCTCGGCACACCCCTCTCACACGTTTCGTGGCCCCATAGGGAGCTCCACTCAAGATCCCAGTGGCGCAGTCCGCATGGTGGCTACTCCATCGACGTCCCAGTGGCTGCGTTCGCATGCGCCCACCGCACCTATTTCGGCACACCCCTCACACGTTTCGTGGTCCCATCTGGAGATTCCACCGACTGCCCCAGTGGCTGTTTTCGCATGCGCCCACCGCACAATTTTTGACACACCCCTCACACGCATCGTGACCCTATAGGGAGCTCCTCCGAATTCGTTGCATACAACGACGGTGCTCACAACTGGGTCCTTCGCCAGGCTATTTGTGAAGATTGTTTTTTTCCCAACCATCCTCTGGTGTTGAGTCTTCGGTTTGAAGGGGCAGTCCCCGCATCCTCTCGTCTCATCTCCTCCTCCCCCATCCTCCCTCCTATTCCTCGCCCTCCCCTCACGCGTTTCGTGGCCCCTATTGGTAACTCCACCTAAGGTCCCAGTGGCGCTGTCCGCATGGCGGTGCCGCCCAATTTCGGCACACCCCTCGTACAGGTCGTGCCCCCATAGGGAGCTCCACTGAAGGTCCCAGTGGCGCCGTCCGCACGGCGGCGCCGCCCCATTTCGGCACGCCCTTCGCACGTTTCGTGGCCCCATAGGGAGCTCCACCGAAGGTCCCAGTGGCGCCGTCCACATGGCGGCGCCGCCCCATCTCGGCACACCCCTCACACGTTTCGTGGCCCCATAGAGAGCTCCACCTAAGGTCTTAGTGGCGCCGCCCGCATGGCTGCGCCGCCCATTATATATATATATATATATATATCAATTGGCAACATGGGAGCGCTGCGGCTGTGATGATGCGCGTCGGGAAAGTGTGACAAGAGAACAACACCACCTGGGCTATACAAAGCTGGGGGGATCAGACAGCCTACCGCTGGTGGGCAGACTGCTTCTGAGCATGGCCAGAACCTTCAATGTCAAGCAATTGCTGAGCAGTGAGAGGCGTGAGTTCACACATCCGTGCTGTGCAGCGCGGCGCGCGATGACCGAGGTGCTCAATGGCAGCAGCACGGGAAGCGAATTTCTTCAAGCTGGCTGGGCATTGCGAGCCTGCGACATACTGGCGTGCCGGGGTCCGATACCCATGCATCTTGTAGGCATGGGTCATCAAACTTTTAAGGGTGGAGCAGCATCGACGCCGCTCGGGAGGGCAGTCGGGGCAGACCCAAGGAGCTTCAGCAGGCACGGGGTCTGTATGGACATTGATGTAAGTGGGCACGCAAACTCGTGGATGGAGGCGCGTGTAATCAGGCATCATGTCATGCAAAGCCCGCTTCAATTGAGAAGGCTCGGCAAACAGGGCGAGCCAAGGGCCAAGCTCGGTGCATGGGGCTGGCATGCCGCGCAGGGCAGGGGCAGCCTGCCACGCCCATCTCAGATCGTCGGCCAGAGCTGCCGAAGCATTCGTGCCCCGCTGCAGCCGGAGCGCGTAACATAGCGGGGCCACGCGCGTACGTGGTAGCAGCAACCACTAATCGCTTCTGCAAGAGGATCAGGTCCGTGGGCAACACGTGCAACTCCCTTAGCACCTCCCCGTCCGAGCCGTGTCCGGACCGCTTAAACCGGCAGCGGTTGACCACCACCCGACGAAGCACGCGCATGCGAGCGCTGTGAAGATGCCGAACAGCGTCGGGAGAAGGGTTCAGCCATGTCTCGGTGCCGAACCACAGTTTCGAGAAGCAGAGCGAATCTGCGAGGGAGAGCCCCGTGCGCACGTAAGAGCCGCTCACTGCGCAGACTGTGCCCACGTGCCTGTAGCGGTTCGTCACAACCACTGCTCGGGAGGCGTCCGGCGCGCGCAGCATGTGACGGTTGAGTTCGGTTTCGTAGAGGGAGGAACGCCTTCGGCGAGATTCTTTGCCTACCAGGTGCAAGGAGACTTCCGCCCTGCATTCCTTCAGGTTGCACTGGAGGCTGCACTAGGAGAATGCGTCGATGACGATATCCAGCAGCATGCTGGCCTGCGTGGAGGCCAGAGCAGGGCTGGC